CATGCCCGTTAAGTTTTGTATTTTTAGTAGAGATGGGGTTTCACTATGTTGATCAGGCTAGTCTCGAACTCCTGACCTCAAGTGATCCGCCCACCTCAGCCTCCCAAAGTGCTGGGATGACAGGCGGGAGCCACCGTGCCTGGCATCCCCTTTAAATGTTGAAGCCCTGAAATTCATCTTTGGAGAAGGGCACAGACCACAGACTGTTTCTGTGATTCTGTTTGTTTGTTTGTTTTCTTCTAGGAGTGTCCTTAAGCCTTGGCAAAAGAAACTTCTAAACTGATTGAGACCTATCAGAGACTTTCTGGTTTACACTCCCCTAGAAACTTCACTGCCCCTAGCCAGATCCTCTTTGTTCTGTCATTTCTTCTCAAATTTATTGTTTTTTGTTACAAAAGTATAGAAGCATCTTGCCTCGGCCACTTCTTTAGACTTTGGACTCTTGTGAAGATCCCCATGTAGATGTAAAACTGATCAAAATGTGTATGCTTTTCTCTTGTTAATCTCTCTGGTGTCAATTTGGTTTCTAAATCCAGTCTAAAGGGATGTGGAGGTAACCTCTGATCCAGCCTAAAGGGGTATGGAGGTAATCTCTGACTCTCTCACCATGGCTAATCTTAGTTAGACAATAGCTATTCCTTCTCTTATACAATAGCATAGCCATGTTGCATGACTCCTGAGCATTATTTTTATAGATTCAAGGGGAAAGGTGCCTCATGGAAGAGTTATGCAAAGAGGTGGCCCTGAATGTAACTCCCTAGTTTTAGCAGTGCATATGGTTGTTCAGATAGACACTACATTTCTCAGCTTTTCTTGTAGCTCAGTGTCATTATGGAACTAACTTCTGGCCAATGGGATGGAGGCATAAGCCTGAATGTGCATTTCCCCGGCTCTTCCCTCACTTCCTACGGACTGGAAAATGGCGAGGCAGAAAAGCTACCATGGAACCAAAGATGGAAGCCACATATTGAAAATGGCAGCGCCATTCCACTAGGTCTATCTACCTGTGTACCTGTGCCTGGACCAGTGTGTGAGAGAGAAATAAGCTTGTAGCTTGTTTGAACCACTGATTTAAGAGTCTCTTTGCTACAGCAACTTAGATGGTACCTTCACTAATGCAGTTGTTAAAGCATGGCATTGGGCCGGGTGCAGTGGCTCACGCCTGTAATCCCAGCACTTTGGGAGGCCGAGGTGGGCAGATCATGAGGTCAGGAGATCGAGACCATCCTGGTCAACATG